TTTGAACTCTTTCATAAATGAACTATATTGGTGTATCTTATTGCTTTGTTTTGTTGATGCTACTTTTCAGGCGATGATATCGAGTTACTTTTCCCCCTTTGTCCTTATGTTTGATAGGGTCATTGTGAAGTGGAATTGACTTGATGGCAGTGAACTTGGAGTTTTATGTTCGAATGGTCCTTATGACTACAAATTAACTTTCAAAATATAGTTTTAGGTATTCCTTAAGTGGAAGGTACATAATTATAAGAAAGTTACTTAATCTAGTAAAACTTTTCTGAATCACTTTATACTAAACAGCACATAACAGATAAAATTATGAGTACAAAGGGCTTAAATATGTTGGTGGTAAAAATTCATTATCTTTTCATTTCATTTTCCAGAAAATTTTGAAGACCCCTTGAATATACCTTGGCATTTAGTCAACATACAAGCAACATTTCCAGTCCCTGATAAATACAGTCCACTGCTTTTCAATTTACTTTAACTGTGGAATAGCTAATTTTAACTACATGAAGTTACCAAATGTCAGGAGGGTATATGCATGAAAAAGATAAGAGAAACTTACCAGGAATATATATTTTTAAAATATACAGGAAATGCTACTGTATGGCTACAGTTCTCTTCATTCAAAAGAGTCTGTACTAAACATATGTATCTGTTTACACCATGTGAGCCAGTCACGGTATACTCATCTCTGACCTAAGTGCAGCCTACATACATGCTGACCAACAACCTATTTTGAGGTCCACTGGGAAATAAGACAGAGGCTCACCTGTGGAGTGAGGGGCCTATAAAGCACTTAATCCGGAAACTAAGGACCCACAGAGTTAGAGCTGAGTGTCCTGGAGCTGAGGCTTAAGGTGAGTGACATGCCCTTAAGTTTAGTCACTTATTAGCAACATTATAAAAAAGCTCTATAAACATTGCCTGAGCAGGGCAGAGGCCAAGGGACTATGTCGCAAAGAGGCCAAGGACTAGAGGGGTGCCTGCCTGTGGGGACAGCTGAGAAGAGACTTTCCGACTGGAAGAACAATGTCCTGAAATTTTCTAATTTGTTCGCTTCCCTAATAAAATCCCTAATCATGAGTAAGGTCTGTGACTTCTGCGAGGCCAATGCAATGAATTACTTCACCTGTGGGAGGGATAGGCGAGGTCAGAATTAGTAAGAAGGAAAGAGGGTTGAGGTGTGGCTAACCTGAGCCTCATAGGAATCAGCCTTGGGCTGATGAGTTTGATTCTTTTTATTCCCCGTGAAGTCAGTAACCTCCTTCTACATTTTACATAAAATAAATATGGACTTACTGTGGAGCAAGGTGCAGCAGGTTAAATGTTGGGTTGCTATCTGTTGGTTAGCAGTTCATTCCCACTACCTGCTCCCTGGGAGAAAGACGAGGGTATGTGCTCCCATGAAGATTTACAGCATCAGAAACCCGAAACAGTCCCAACTCTGTTTATAGAGCTGCTGCAAGTCAGAATTAACTCAACAGGTTTTAGTAGGTATTCAGTAACCCCTTGTGGCACAATGGGTATGCAATAGGCTGCTAATCTGAAGGTCAGCTGTTTGAAACCACAAGCTGCATTGCTTTCTACTTCCATAAAGAGTTAGTCTTGGAAATCCATAGGGGCAGTTCTACCCGTCTACAGGGTCACTTTGGGTGATGTAGTCAATTAATATGGACCTTTTAGCCATACTCCCTTATGTGATGTATTATAAATTCAGCCTCTATACCTGTGGTCGTGATACGATTTTGGAGGGCGGACTCTGCTTTACTAATGGGTAAGATAAAGGAGAACACATCCTGAGCTACCACCTGAGCAGAAGTGGAGATGGAGGGGTTTCCTTGGGGATCTGGTCTGCTGGAAGACAAAAACCACACTTCCATCAAAGCCATTCTTCTGAATATAAGAGTCATCCTGGTAGCAGAGAGAAATCCAAAAACCATAAAGAAATAAGAGCACCAGTGGAGCACATTTGAGATCTCTGAAGTAGCAGAGGCCACGGCCAAAAGCATTAGAGGTTACAGCACGGAGACCATGTGGCAGAATGGAGGAGTAGTGCCAAGACTGAGACTGTGAGGCAGCAGGCTGGCTTCTTGGTTCATGAGGGCAGAGGCTAAGGAACCACATGGCGGAGAGGCTGAGGACTAGAGTGAGACTTGGCTGCTGAGGAGAGGTGTTGCTGTGGACTAATGACTGTTATCCTTACTGTTTACTAATACTGACTGCGGTGACCTGTTAACTTCCCTAATAACCCCCTTAATCATGAGTATTGTCTGTGAGTTTTGTGTGGCCCTTGCAACAGATTATTGACTCCAACAGAGCTAAAGCATCATGGGAAGAACTGTTAGTGTCAGAGTAAAGAAGGATGGAGAGGATGAAGGCACGTCTCACCTGTTTGCATTATGGCAACTGGGTGGAGTTGGGGTTTCCTCTCCCTTACGTAACCAGAAGAAGTCAGATATAGTTCCTTCTGTACGTTTTACTCAATGGGAATCGAGTGGATGGCAGTCAGTTTTGTTGTTGTTGTTTCAGTTTAGAGTCCACAACACACAGCATGGTAATTATATAATCATAGTCGCATAGATGTGACATACAGAGAACACATGGCCCAGTTTCAGTTACAACAACCAAAGGATTTACCAGTACAGAGCCTCACTGGCACTTGGGAGATATTGGAGAACCTCTAAAAATACAAAAATATTTCATACACTTTTCCTTTTATTACACATATGAACAAGTTGTTTATTGGGGCAGAAAACAATATATACTAGTACTTTATAATGCCACCTGTCATGGTGACTAAACACCCGGACTCATAAAACTTTTAAGTTTTTTCTCTTTAATATATGCTATTTACTAAAATAAAGGATCTAAAACTAATGTCAAGCTGGCAAACTGATGTAGTCCAACAGTATTACATTTAGTACAGCCTTATCTTAGGCCTACAAATTCCTTTAAGAATGTAGTGACTGAATTAAAACACTGTGTGATAATTTTGCTATAATTTAATTCTTCCAAGGATATAAGCCAAGAGTAATGGCAAGGGTTCACTATTATATAATCTAAACTTTGTTGCCACGGTTGATTTTCCTGTGTATTCTTACATAGAAATATAAGGAATATAAATTTGTCCAGAAGGTGAGGGCAGCGGAAGACAGAACAATATTGTTGAAGTAGGAAAGGCTACAACCACAATGTCGAAACAAGCCAATGTGTTCACCTTGTTATAACACAAATAATTTTTTAAAGCATATATATAAACATACATATGTTATACAAACACATATATGATTATATATATATATATATAAACACACATATTATATATACATATATGTAGGGTAAACCCTCCCATGACAATTAAGATCCTGTGACTAAGGAAATAAATGACACAAGTGGAGCTGGAACTAGTTACCTTTCGGGGAAAAAAGCTACTATGAAGTAAAGCAATAGCAAATTAATGGATAGGATGACTATAACTATAGTCATTTTAAACAATTACATGAAAAAAGTCAAAGAAAAGAAAAATTATAAAAAATAATAGTCTCATCTACAAAATGAAAACATAAATGAATAAAACATACTGACAAGTAAGGTGTAAAACTGATGATGTTTCCAGCAGAAAAGCTCTTGAGGAAAACCTCACCATTTTTGGCTACTTCTGCTATGATGTTAGCTACTTTGGCTGTGCAGGAAGACTGTGGAGTCAACAGATTTGCAAAAAGCTGAAGTATTCCACTTCCTTGGATTTTTTCACTTGTTTCCATATCTGAAAGAGATGTATAAAAAGAGATTCAATGAAAATCTTCAACTCTAACAACTTCATCTACCGTGAAAAATTTCTATCCCCATCTATAACTGAAATTAGTTTCAATATACATTCAGATGTTGTATTTTTAGAAAAATAACTTTCAAGTGCATTGTGTTGTTTAAAATACAATTCTATCATTGTACAGTGAGACGATATATAGAGGAAGTCTTTCTGCACACATCAAGTGCTTAGCAAACTTAGTCTTCGATGTTAGTTCTAAATGGCTTGTCCACTCCAAGTAGAAGTGCTTTCCCCCTATACTTCCCTTTTTCTTTTCTAGATTTCTAGCAGTTAATTATTTTATATAAATTTTAGAGTACCTTATAACCCTAGAGCAACTTTGGTTTTTACAATTACAAGGAACAAGAAATTCACCTATCATTTTATATGGAATGCATGAAGACAGGTGAAGAGACTATATATGGAGTTCCACAGGACAAGACTGTTTTTCACACAACTCAATCAAGTCACCAGTACTAACAGTGAGAAACGGAAAACAGTAAAACCCTTTTTGCTGACAAAGGAATGAATTCAAAAGGCTCCTACTTCTTGACTTTTTAAAAATGGAAAACGAACTATGAAACCAACTATTGCTGTTTCTGTGCATATTCTCCACAAGGAATAAATTATTAAAAACAGAATAAAACAAAACAACCCACTTTATGCACCTATTATTCAGAGCACAAGTTATTAAAATAAAAGATAAAAAAGGAACAACTAGAATGATGAAAGGAATAAAAAAAGACTCAAGAAAATAAAGCTGAAAATTACCATTGTACGCTGAACAACAATGAGGAATAACATGCGTTTAAAAATAGAGGGTTTTAAAGCTCATTAAAATACTTAATTTAAAATTGATCCTATGTGTACCTCCTTTATATCCTCTGTAAATACATATCAACAAGAGAACCCTAAAGATTTCCTGTTAATAGCCACTTATCTAATCAATAAAGAATACAAAAATCATTTTTCCTAGAATGTCCACACAGAGAACTCCTATCTCTTTATACTAAGTGCTGACTCTTTAGTGCTGTGGTTTTCAGAAAGTGAGACAAAATATTTACAAGAATCCATTCAATGTCTTTCTTTCCCTTCATATTTAGGCATGGTCCAGTAAAAGGTGTGGATGGCAGTCTGGATTTTGAAGGACCGATAGATGAAGGGCAACCACTACTCTAAAACAGTAACGGTTGGGGTCCTGTCTACCCTTGCACTGAGTCCTGCGAGCGTTTACTCTGTTCACACTGGCCACCTGCCACAAGTAGGCAGTATAGTTAGAAACTGCCAGTGACAGAACGAAGAGGAAAACTGGAACCCCTGGACCAGAAAATCGTGACGCCAGGCTACACTACCATAAAGGGAGAAGTTAAAGCACAACTCAAACAACTTCTCAAGGCCAATAACCAAATAGGAAAAGGGAGGGTGTTCGGTAGAATAGGAAGGAATTCATAATATACCATATATACTTGAGTATAAGCTGACCCAAATATCAGCTGAGGGACCTAATTTTACGACAAAACTGCATTAACAAATGTGCTGAAAAAACTAGGCCTATAGACGAGTATAGATGGTCTAAGTGTATAGCTTGAGAAAGGTTAAGGTTCTTAACAAAGCTGCCAAGTATATACATTAAAATAAATGATTTTACCATTAAATAACAAGAGAAGGTTTTAAAGTATGCTGTTACAATAAGCTGCATTTGTATTATGCTAACATAGTCTTCATGGTGATAAATTAGTAAAAAGCATTTGGTAATCAATTTACAGTACATTCAAGCTAGAAGAGAAAAATGATTACTATTACTATCATTGTATTATACTGAAAAGGTTTTCAGATTAAATTGATAGCACAATTTTAAAGTAATAAAAATGTTTTCAATTTTACTTAGATTTACTGGGACAATAAAGAACTGTTCTCTTTTTTTTTTTTAACATTTTATTAGGGGCTATAAAATGTTAAAAAAAAAGAAAATATAAGATAACATCTCAATGATTTTGAGATAGATAAGGGTTTCTTAGTGGGGACAGATATTCATACAATAAAGGAAAAGATAGATAATTTGACTTCAAAAAAAAATTTAAGATATGTGAAGTATATCCCAATGAAAATATAATAAAAATAACTAAAATAACAAGTTTTGTTATTTTACTGGCTCCTATACAGACTTTAGTAAATAAAAATAAAGGAACAAAGACAGAATAAGAAACTATAGAAACCATCTTTTCATTTACAAAACAATGTTTAAAACCAGGATTAGCTTTTATAATGTGTCAAGAAATGTAGTTCTCAGGAGACTGCACCATTTAAAAAAGTATTTACTTTACATGTGTTGACCTTTGTTTTATGTTAGATATGGCTATGAGGTGAATGTTTTCTGTCAGATATAGTGATATGCTTCATGGGAGCTAGTCTACCAGGTCCTTCATGGGCAGTATGAGTCAGAATTGACTGGATGGGAATGAGCTGGTTGTTTTTAGACGTTGGCATTGTTTCTACACATGATCAGCCACAAGGCAAGCTGCCATTGGCAGTAATTTCTAAACGACATAACCTATTTCATTCTATTACATTCCAAAAAGTGACTCACATAATCCGTAAATACTCTCCATTTAAAAATGTTTATTTCACTTATGATATCTACCTTCTTTTCTTCATGAATAAAGTATCCAGAGTCTTCTAAAAAAAAAAAAAAAAGAACTGTTCTCTTCATATGCTGTATCCTACATCTTCTTCTATCAGATTATGAAAGATGTTTTCTCATCAAAGGCAAAGATTTGGAGTTACTACAAAGAACAGGAATATGGCCCAAGGAGCCATGGGTCTACAGGTTTCTGGAGAAGTGTGTGTACTTCTTAAGGTACAGCCTTTTAGAATGGAGTATATCACCATACCTGGCCCTGTGCCAGAGTGATACCATCCAAACAGAAAACTTCAGGCACTCCCACACAGGCTAGTCCCAAATCTTGTTCATTTTGTCAAATGGAAAACAAACATATGCACTTGTATATACCATGAACAACTCAAATACAGCATGTTAAAATTGAATTTATTCTCTTTCCCTTATATTTAATCTAAAGACCCACGAGGCTCTCTCCCATAAAGAGGTAAGAGTTTCGGAAACTGAGAGAAGCAGCTCTACCTGTCCTGCAGGGTTGCTGAGTCAGAATCACCTCAGTGGCAGTGAATTCGGATTTTTGATCTCTCTGAATGGCAGAAGTACGTCTAAGATGACAGAAGCCCTAAAATGATGATGAGCCTTCTCCTTCAGTAAATACCTTCCTACCACTGACTTTCATCTGAACTCGGTCGCACAGACCTCATCACACTATCTTCTGCACTATCCGTCCAGTTCGACACTCAATTCATTCGAGTTCTCAGTTGAGCCTGTGATTAAATACAACAGCCTGCTACAGACTTCCCCCCTACTTCAGCACTTCTGTTTCCCCCCAAGGTATCATATATAACGATGCCAAAATAAACTCCCGGAGATAAACATTTTATGTTGCCCCTCCCTTATTTTAAACCTTTCAGTGGTTGTCCATAGCTCTGGATTAAACCTGGAATCCCCTGCATGCTATTTCCCCAGCTCTTTTTCCTGATGTGTCACACGTAACTGCTTAGCAAAAACCAAACCCACCGCTGGGGAGTCAATTCTGACTCACAGCGACTCTTAATCACCTTACTCACTACTCCTTACTGCTGCTCCCTCTGATATGCAACCCTATTGCTCACTCTTCCACTTTAGCGAATTCCCTGTCAGACGCACAGTGTCTTCAACCTAGTAGCCTTGGATAAATGTCTTTTTAATGATCTATGACTACCATAAACGCTCTATCTGGTTTATATTGAAATCATTTAATTTTCCTTCACGCATCTCTCTTCATTTTTAAAAGTCCTATCAGATAATTACAGAGAGCCATAAAATGAGATTACGTGGGGTGAAGGAGCAGACTCGTTTTTGGTGTCCTAGTCCAGTGCTCTTTCTAGAATTAGTGTTTAGAAGCTATATGTTGATGATGATGCCTCAACCAGATCCTCTGAGCTATTCTTGAAATCTATTTAAATTATTTTCATAATTATATTTTTCAGGTCTAAAAACTGAAGCAAGAGTGAGAAAGAGATTTTTTGTATTTTGGGATAACTAAATTGAGACAGTGACCACAACAGGGGGAGAGCGATACAGATTTAACACATAAAAGAGGACTACAAATATACTTAATACAAGAAGATGAGAAAAACAACCCTGCCAATGAAAAAATTAATGTCTCTAAAAGCAACCCTAAAATAATTTTGCAGCGTAGATCCTGACTGAACCATTATATCTTGAGTATTTCTCACCTGCATTGTAACCTATCAGCTTCCTTAATAAACACTATTTATTAGCCTGAGCGTTATCTGTGAGATCTGAGTATCTAGTGAATTATAGAACGTAGATCTGAAAGTAGAGTGATTATGACACAGAACAGAATAGAGGAAAATGAATAAAATGGTATTTCTTACCTTAAAGGAAACATCTAAGGACCTTAAGCAAATAAGCAAAAAGAACATAGAGAGCAGGAAAGAAAAGGATGTGTGTACCTGCTGAAATGAAAGAAAGAAAAACAAAGACCCATTTACACAACGACTCATTTCTGAAACAGAAGTGAAAAAGAAATCTAAGAGGTTTTTCTAAGATAAAGTTAAGGCTTATACAAGTAGAATAAGTGATTTTGAGAGTCTTGCAGTCATTTTGATTCCAGGGAAAATATAAGCTATGGGACTAGGAAAAGTTATGGGCTTGGAAGGCATTACTAGACTAATCAGGGAGAGTTGGTAGTGTGACTACTTTAAAAATTTACCACTAACTAGGCAATGTAAGTAATTACCAAAAAGTGGAAGAGCTTTATGGTGAGGAAATGGTGTGGGGGCACTGTGACCTCAGGCTGCACAGGTCAAACCCAACATAGATCGAAGGCTGA